TTCTTAAACTGTCTGTTGCAGCTGAACAGCAATTTAAATAGTTGAGAATGAGTGGTTAGAGTTGTGGTAAAAACCCTTTTGCAAGCTAATCGGGGAGTTCCCTATCTACTACTTATCCACCCTAGAGGTATGTCATAGCCGTTTAAACACGTGTTCGTCTTGACAGCCGTTCCGCTTCATTGGCAATCCTAGGTAAACCTCACCCTCTGTTGGCTGGAATCTAGTTTGACTACATGTGAGCAAGCAGAGACCAGTGCTGGAATTCAACAGAGTTTCCGGAAATCTGGAATTCAGTCATGATGTCACGCGATGGCAGATTTTTCCACTTCTAAACGCACAGTAGTGTTCATAAACATTTCGTTTCTGTTGTAGCTTGCAAATACATATATTTTTACATCTCATGCATATTTACATGAAAATGCTGATACTGAGAAATTAATGCTACAGAAGGTGTAAGTTACAATGAGTAACAAATGGTGGGCATAGTACGCAAAGTGAACACTACAGTAAAAGACACCATAATAAAAATTTACTCCAGTAAAAAAAAGTTAGAAGAAAATGTGTGCTTACTGATGAATGTATATTTTGCAAGAAATTAAAATTACAATACATGTCATAGTTTAATTTTTACACTAATAATCTATCATAATTTAAGTAAAAACATGTAAAACCATATCCACATGCTGAACCCCATTCAGATCAGTTTGTAAAATTAATCATTTACTGGATCATTTAGATCAGTGAACTATTTACTGGAGACTCTCTCTGAACAGATTAGTGGAATCAGTGATTTATCATTTACTGTAAACTAACTCTGAATGGAAAATTTAAATCAGTGTATTATATACTAGAGACTCTGAACGGATCATTTGAATCTGTGATTTTTTTTTTTTTTACTGGAGACTTACTTTGACCAATCTTTTAAATCAGTGAATTGTTTACTGGACACTCACTCTGAACAGATAATCTAAGTTAGTGAATCATTTACTGAAGACTCACTCTGAACAGATCATTTGAATCTGTGAATTGTATACCTGAGACTCACTCTGAACAGACAATTTGAATCAATGAATTATATACAGGAGACTCACTCCGAACAGATAATTTGAATCAGTGAATTATCATTCACTGGACACTCATTCTGAATAGACCATCTGAATCAGTGGATTATATACTGGGGACTCACTCTCAACGTATCATCCGAATCAGTGATTTATATACTGGAGACTCTGAACAGATCATTTAAATTAGTGAATTATACTGGAGACTCACTCTGAACGGATCATCTGAATCAGTGATTTATTTACTGGAGATTCACTTTGAAAAGATAATATAAATCAGTGAATCATTTGCTTAATCATGTTAGTAAAAATTTTCTAAAATAAATCTAATAAATACTCTACGATAAAGTAGAGATTAACTAAAAAAAAAATAGTTTACTTGTTGAAACTACTGATTTAAAATGAGCTGAAACAACCCAATTTTAAAGATTTCATTGGGGAAAAAAACGTTTTTATTTATCCATATAAATTTGTTAAAAGTGTTTAGTTAACTTAATTGATTTGTGTTGGGAAAACATGAATGAATTGTGTGGAACCCTGCATCTTTAGACATAATTTAGACATAGTAACAATAAATTATACATAATCACATACTCTACAACTAGTCCTAAACCTCTTGCTAACCCTCATTTTATAGTAAAAACATGTACAGTAATTAATATAACTAATACCATAGTAGTAATTGTAATAGTAATAAAAATTATAGTTAAATATATTTATAAGTAATGTAAAAATGACCCTAAAATGAAGTGTAGCCAAGATTATGTATATTGATACAACAAAATTGTTATAAAAATATTTATAAATATGTTTCTATGTCTTTAAGAAACGTATTTCAAATATATGCTATTCTTTAGAACTTTCTATTTGATGTATACACTCTACAAAATGACGTTGTAATCCAATGTTGTTTTTCAATTCAATTAGATTTTTACGTTTTATCCCTATGGTTGGGTTTGTCCATATTTGACCCAACATTGGGTTACAAAAATCCAGCATTTTAGAGTGTAATACTTTAAAATAAATGTCATTTCCAAAAATATTTCTACATAACAACAAAAAAACATTAAAACAACAGTTTTCAACATTAAAATATTGATATGAAATGGTCTCGAGACCCAAATAAGCAGATTATTATGATTTTCTGAAAAAAAGGCTACAAATTGGAGTCCTGCTGAAAAACTGAATCTGAAAAACTGGCTGCTTCACATTCACTTTGCTGTCATAAGAATAAATTACTCCTTAAAAATAATTGTAAAAACATTAATATTGTAATTTTTATTGTACTTTTGATCAAATAAATACAAAAAAATGAACATACAATTTATTATAAATATATGAATCCAGAAAGAGAACAAAGGAGTCTTTGTAATCTCAAACAACACTAAAAAATGCTGGGTTCCACACAATTAATTTGTGTTGTCCCAACACAAATTGATGAAGTTAACCTAACACTTTCAACAAATTTATATGAATTGAAAATAAAAAAAAATTAAGTTGTCCCAATGAAATCTCCAGAATTGTTCATTTTAAATAAATAGTTTGAACGAGCAAAATAAATATTTTTTTGAGTGAAGTTTATTTTTAGTGGCTCTTCTCTACTCTCAACTGATGACAGAGATATAAGCCTCTTTCAGTCGTAATTTAAAAGCTGGTTGACAAATGCTGCATTATAACAGAAGACAAACCTCTCACTGACAGACTAATATTTCAGAGATAACAGAAATGCCAAAATAAAAGGCCATTGTGTTGGTTTTGTATCAGACGTTTATTGAGCCATTGTGCTATTGTACATTCAAACTTCTTTGAATCATTCATATGTCTGTTCACAGTGGTTTGCATTCGTTTGAGTGCGTAAAGGTAAAAAGCTCCTTCACATATCATTGTCCCGGTGTCCTTGCACCTCAGTACGACGGGGGCCTCATTGGCAGTGTGCTTTCCACAGCAACACAATGAGGTCCTGGCAGAACAGGGCAAATTGAGGTAGTTAAAAAGGAGCTCTGTTCACATGTAACTGGATCTGGCTTTGCTCTGAAGCCAGGCATTCCGGTCGACCCACTGAAGAGTCACATGAACACAATGACCAGGCCAGACCCAGATTTACTGACAGCCATTAACATACACCTTACCTGACCGCTCAAAACATGCCTGACTGACCCGATAGAATCGAAAGAAATGTCTCAGACACACTCGATTGAAGGCTCAACTGTTTTCATTAGTTTTGTACCTTTCAGCACATTACAATTGACGTTATTTTTACTTTGTGTTGCTCCATTCTGCATATTTGTGGAGAAAGTGAATCAACATACTGTTACAAAGTCAACATTGTAAGCTTGTTTCCATGTGAAATTTAGTTACGATGTTAACACTTAATGATTGTTATGTTGGATAATTGGCAAGGACAAAAAATCTTTTATCAAGCCTCGTTCTTTTACTTCAGATACTTTTAAAATGCAAGGCTGCCCGCATGTACAGCCTCTGTTTATAGTATATACAGCAATTAATAAAATTAACCCTGCAGGGTCTGAGGTGATTTTTGGGCCTCTAGACATGCCCTGACATTTGTGCTTCTTTGAGCTATTTATTACATAGTATTGGCTAACATGTATTTTTTGTATTCAGCACGCACAAACTGTGCTACAATAATATGGGAGAAATATTGTTGTACATGATTGCATTTTTTATTTTTAGAAAAAAAAATGTTTGATTAGAAGGTTTTGGAGAGCAAAAAAGTAACTAAATTCCATAAAACCACACTTGGGTGTGTGTCCGAAAACCATAATTAGTTAACTAAGACTGCAAGTACCGTCAATACAAACAAAGTTAGTTGATTTAATGTTTACCAAATCCGTCGTTCCAATGAACATTCGCAAACTGCGTCACAAACTTGTACGCTGCAAACTACACCTCTAGAGCTGTAGTTAGAAGCATAGTTCCTGGTTGTGTTCTATTCCCAGTTACTGTATCCTCATCTATGCCCAATTTATTTTCCCTAACAATCTAATATTTAAACTAAATGATTTAAAAATAAAACATTAAAGTCATCTCTTTTAGGTGTAATATAAATATTTTTATTTATTTTTACAGTTCAGTTTTAGCGATCTTCATATTGACAATATCGTTACCTTCGCAGTGCACTTTAAAAACATTTATGACATTTTGAACAAAGCCATGGTAAAGCTATAGGTGACCTATTATTTAAAAGCGTAATTTAGGCTATGTTACATGTCCAAAACTTGTGAAATATATATAACATACATTAACGGTTTCTCTAAAGAAGTAGTTACTCCACCCCATTTAGAGCATCATTATGGTCGTTTTACGTTATAACTAACATCGTTCAAATGATGGATCTGCAACAGAGAAGCTATAGTTTTGGGAAGCACTCTTCACTACATCGTTCTTTTCCCAAACTATGCATTGTACTATGATAGTTCAGCTGTGAATTTTGTTTTTGTCTGGGAAACGCAACCCTGAATGTGCCTGAATAAGACTTTTGAGTAGACTGAATAGTCTTGTAGACTAGAATATTTACTTCACAATTATGTGAAAATGATTCCGTCCTCTCATTCAAAGAAAACATTACAATGATTTGCATTTTGTAAAGTTAGTGTTTAGGTCAGCATATTGTATGCGCCTTGACATCTTAAAAACTCTTAGTTTTAGAGACTTTTTTGTTACAAATAAAATAACAAAAAGAAGATTAAAGATATGTTTATATTCATTTTTAGACAACACCATCAATGTTGTATCTTAAGAAATCAATAATTGAAATATGAAATATGCCTCATTTTCAATCACACCAAATGCTAAAACGTCGTTTTCTAAGAAAAAAAAATATCTTAATCAAATTTCATGAAACACTGTGGGAAAAACAAAGACAACAAAAATATACATGTATTTGTACAAAGAACAAAATTTTTCTTGGAGGTTTATTGCAGAAACTTTGACTCATAACACTTGGAAGAGAACTGTAAAACATCAACCTTCCAGTGTAGGATTCACAGTTTCTTATAAAACTACATATATAAAAAAATAGGGCCTATTAAAAACACATGAAAAGACTGTTGGGAGTTGTAGGTCAGGTTTGCATGGTAACGACTAAACTATGATAAAGGCTGCCATGTCATTTGCATATACAGATAGGAAAATGAGAGATTTTCTATCACCACCTTCAAAAGGACCATGACGGCATTAGCATGTGATGGACGGCATTACCAGACAGTATTAGACACAAGTTATTACATCTAACCATGTCTGGTAAGACGTCCATCAACAAGCCTGACTCTGTGACAACTGATAAAGAGAAAATTATGTTAACTCAGCAAATAAAAAAAGAACAGAAAACATGTTAAGAAAAAAAAAAGGTTTGATCATGAAACAATGTCGTTCAGAACAAACATTTGCCGAGGTTTGAATTTTACAGGCCAAAAAAAAAAAAAGATTTCAAAAGGCCTAAGGGACGTAAATGACGTGGTTATGTAAATACAAGCAATAAAAGCACAAAAAGGGGGGATGGAGAATGACAAACGGGTTCAGTTTATACATACACAAGCGAAGAATAAAAAAAAGTACCCCAGACAAGCAAATATGGGTGCGGTTTAGTATTTGCGAGTCAATTCACCCACCTTAAACAAACATTCAGTGCTTTAGTGACTTTACAACCATTGCTTCTGCCCACACATCATACTTCACATAATCAAGAGAAAAAAATTGTCCCCTTAAGTGCTAAAGGTCATTATGAATGAAGGAAATTTCCCTTAAACAAAGCAGAAAGTAAAAACTGTGCTATCAGCTACTACTGAAAGTCATGTTTAACATGGACTCTCGCTATGGTGACGTTCTGTGAGACAATATATATTCAGCGATCAAAGACAGAGAGGGGTAAAAGGGAAGAGGAGGAGCTGAGGATGTCATTATGTCTATTTTTATCATTAGGGATACGCTGAGCTCATGTGTCAGTTGCAGGATGTGCCACGCAGGTAAAACGTGCTCAACCAATCACGGCTCGCCTGCTATCACAAAAGCCACACAGAGAATAGCAGAGGGGGGAGGGGACGAGGAAACTTTCAGCAGGTCTGGTTTAACAGTCAACCGACTGGTATTCTTTAACTAATGCTGGGTGGGGTTCAGACGTCTGAAACACAGAATGGGACAAGGACATTCATGAAACAAAGCCCCTCAACGATTTCTAAAGGCTTTTTCGTCCTTTCAGTACGCACCTTCGCAATGCTGATACTTTTACATTTGTAATTGTACACTAAAAGCGGTTTTGGAGTATGCTTTAGAAGGAAAGACTTAAAATGTAGCATTCAGTTAAATGTTTTACTTGCTTTCACAATATGAAAATAAAAGTCATGGCAGGTTCAACTTGATTTTTTAAACATGTGACATTTAAATTAATGTTTTAAGTCAGTTTAATGCAAGCTGAAACGACTTTTTAATCAACATAAATACTTAAAGCAGCAACACAATTTTTACAGTGAGCAATTACTATTCAACAAGGACATTTTTCCCTATCAATAAACAACCTACAGTACAAAAGGCATATTTCTAGGTCAGCGTAGCTCATATTAACACCACACCAGGAAGTGCAGATATAAAGGCTGTTATAATTACTCTGGCCTATACGCGTTAAGCAAATTTCCCAAACAAACACGAGCCCTGATGTGGTTTTTCTCCTCCCAACGGTGAAACTAAAAATAAAGAGAGCACTGTCAGACACCGAAGGTTCATGCTATCATGAAAACAGTAAAATCTCTCCCACCGTAGCTTCATCATGTCATATATAAGCACATGCAAGTAGCCTAGATGTGAACAAACATGAGGACTTCCTCTTGAAGTGATGAGGTCACCCAACAAACATCGTTACCAGACAGTGTTAGAAAACAGTTATACAGTCCAGCACTGTCCGGTAAGATGGCTGCTAAGTGCCAGTGAGGAGGGTTTATTTTCCCAGGAATGATCTTGATCTGTAGCTTGTAGGCAGCAATCATCATCATTACCAGGCAGTATTAGAAAAAGTAATGAAATCCAATGCTGCCTCGTAAGATGGAGACGACTACCAAAATCAGAGGTCTTATCAAACAACACAAAGTCTCAAAGTAATAATGCTTCACATAATATTAACAGTATTGCAAGATATTAATTATTAGAGTGTTTAAAGTTGGATAGTAAGCATCACTTGGGGAGTCAACCACAGAAACTGCACTTAGAATAAACAGGACTTGATAACAGCTCTGACTCAGTCAACTGTCCTAGACAAAGGGGTATGCCGGTAAAACAACCTGCTTGAAAACAGGTAGAGCTAGTACGGCACATGTTTTTTTTTTTCCATCTGAAACTGCAGCTGAAGTAAAAGAGTGGGCCACCGAGACTGTTAATAATTGCCCAAACCTGTTCTGACTGGTCTGATTTGACATCATGGCCAGGCTGGGAGGACTGTTCGCATTAACAATATAATGATGAGGAAGGGGGGGATATACATTTCCGCCAAACCCAACCATCTTGTGTTGAAAGCAACAAAGGCCTTCTTGGGGGTGTTGAAAGATTTGCTCATCCTTATAGTGTGTAGCACAAAACTAAATACCAGGCTCTTGTATTATGAATCGGAGAAATGGCATAACAGCAAGTGTGGGAAGGGCTGACTGATGCTAATGATAGTAGACGCACTATGTAGTGATAACACTGAGCTGGAATGTTGTTCCCGATTGACCTGCGACCAGAGTCAGGACCGAGAAGGTCGATTTCAATACTTCTTGTTTGTTGAGTTACATCTGTAGCACACTTAGCAAGACAGTCTGTCATAACGCTGTTTTCAAAACGCTGTTTTCTCTTAAAGATATTAGCAAAATGGCTTGGAGAGAGGTGGAAAAATAATGCATTAATTACATTTTATGATAAAAATAGACTAAAAAGTATGTTCGTTTTAAAGTTAAGTAGTTGTTGACACTTTTTAAACACCCAAACAAGAAATCACATTAATTATTGCATGAAGTGAGAGACTCCTAAACTTGCTTTATTCAGTCACAAATGTTAGCATAATAGCTAATTATTGGAGAGAGGTGGTAAACGAAGAGTAGACCTAAAATACTTTTAAAAGACTGTGAAATAGAGTAGTAATTCTTTTAAAAACCCAGTTATAGGTGTAAAACAGACTCAAAATCATGCTAATTATTCCACAAGGTAATAAATTATTAATCAAAAAACAAATTTTAGCATAACAGAAACATGGTAAAATAAATCACTTCTAATAATGAATCTTAAGAAGGCTAGTATAAATTTTTTCTTGATATATATAAATGTGAAGTAGCACGTCTTTTAAAATACCAAAAATCAAACTTTTTCCATCTCCACAAAGCAAATAAAAGTGTTCGATTATTGTTACAAAGAACTGAATTGATAGATCTCGTGAGAAAAGAAGAAATGAGGTCTGTAAGGGGGAGCAGAAGACGAGAGAATGGGAGGGAAAAAAGAGAGTGCAAACGTAAGGAAAGAGAGAGAGAGAGTGAGTGAGTGCCTGTAACCTTACCGTCATGAAAGAGACCCTGCTAAAGTAACAAAAAAAGCTAGTAAGGAGGGAAAAGAAAGACAAAAAAACCCATAAAATGTCCAGCAAGTGGCTGAAAAAGGCTTCAGCTTCCTCTTGTTCGATCAGGACTCATGCAATGAAAAGCCCAAGCAGACCTGCTCGCCCAGACCGCAGCCTCTATTTGGTTAATCATCAGCATTATAAACCAGTGCAGCAGGCCTTCTGAGAAAGAAAGAAAGAAAGAAATACAGGAAGAGAAAGAGAGAGAGAGACAGGAAAAGAGAATCAAAAGTCAGAAGCAGAAAATGTTTTTAAGCACATACTTGAGCGTTCTCGTCTATCATCAATATCCATCTGTGAGAAAAGGTCTCCCCTGTTCTGTTTTTCGCTCTCTTTCCCTCACATTTCAGCTGCCGTCAGGTGCAGGTTTAACCTTTCCTGGCTGTCTGCTCGGGTCTCCGCGCTGAGAGTGAGGTGTGATCAGGTAACCCTGCCCTCCTGGTTGGAATGTGACTCCTTGCTGAAACGGACAACCTGAGGGGTAAACTAGGCTTGGCCTTAATCAATAGTTTGTGAAGAACAAAGACGAGGAAACCCTAAACCTTACTTAAAGGTAGGCTTCGCTCTGACGACTATAATTGCCCACTGGGTTTAAATGGATGTGTTGTTTCCTACTAGACCCATATACAAATCGAAATATGTAAATACATTCCCATTTCAGTTTCTAAATTTAATTTAAGTATTATAATTCCTATTGGGAATAGGAAGTGGATGAGAGTCATTTGCATATGTGATACAAGGCGTTTTCCTTGTCATCCAAAAATTTCAAGCCTTTTAATTTTTTAATTGTTCAACAATCTTCTCAAAATTATCTAAAGATGCACGTCTGTTAATAGAAAGCACCCCTGAATGTGCGCTGAGGCAGATTGCTGCTCTTAAGTACACAAGTTCAATGTGCCGCACTTCCGTGACCTCTCACCCGTGCATGGTAATTAATACGCCATTTTCTTCCCTCACGCAGAGGAGCAAACACTACGGCACAAACCTACGGCTCTGTAATAAAGGCTTCATCGGCCTCCAAATGTGGAGATCTGTTACCTTTCCACATTGTCCCGGGGAGAGCTTAACTCTCATAATGCTCTGGCTGGGATATAGAACTGTGACAAATGACTCATTCAGATGAGGGAATGAAACAGACTCATTTTCCTCCGTCCACCAATCAAAACCCTCCACCTCACTGTGCATCCATTGTGCTGCCCAGCCGACATTTTCTTTTTCAGGACAGACAAGCTTTTAAAATGCATTTATCAGCAATAATGAAGTGACTGGATGACATAAGCTTTCCTTTAGAAGCTATGTCACGACATCAGTACAGGAGGTTTTATTCATCTAAAGCAGTGGTTGCGACTATCAAAAAGAGAGGATAAAAGAGCAGACGACAGCTTATAAGCTGTGCGTTTAAGCTAATACAATGTTTGCTTTTCGCATCCGAAGCCGACAAAACAGCAGTCATTGTCTCGCTTCCTCTGAAATCATGCCAAAACGACAGGCAAAGACAAGTCTTACTACTAGCAATCAGGGAAGCAGATGCAATTCATCTTTGCTTACTTGCTTTAAAGAAAATACTAATTAAATGCTGCTATTTGGATTGCTTTTCTCCGTCAGAAGCTTTAAAACAATTCTAAAACTATGTTTTGTCATTAGAAATTGATTTCTTAATCAAGTACCTCGTTCTAGGCCTTTTTAACAGCCATTAGATAATAGCAAGCGTCCTTCTAAAGCTGTATTTCCAGCAAAAGTAAAGAGAGCTCCAAAGCCCCCTCTTTATCCCCTTTGACAAGTCTGGCGGTTTGCCTCTACCTGCCTAAACTGGTCTATCCAGTCAAGGAATGACGGTTTGTGTCTATTGTGTTCCCTTTTTCTTTCTGTTTAAATGGATTGGAATTTGATACAGACTATGAGTGGCTCAATCAACAAACAACAACAAAAAAATCCCCCTTTCCTCGATTCACGTCTTTAATTTGTACCAAACAAATGCTAAATAATACCACTACGTAGCTAAAATGCAATGATGCGTTAGCAAAAAGGAACAAAACTAAGGGCGGGGACGTTAAGCGCAGACATAAACTAAAGAAAACCAAGCAATACAAAGTTAAAACTAATACATAAATAAAATAACCTCTTACTTGGTTGATCCACTGGATACTGCGTCAGTTCTCCAGCTCGTCCTTCTCTTCTTTTTACAGCTGAACGACGCCCTGTAAGCTTTTCACCACCGAAAGCCAGGAAGGAGACCATCTTGAGGCGGGAAACCGGATTCCCAACACAACGTCAGGCGGAGAAATGAACGGAGCGGCATATCAGGCTAGTCTTTGTCCCAATGAAGACGAGAGCTCAAGGTGATGCTACCTGTTTAACCTCTTCGAGAAGAGAGGCAGAATTTGTAAAGCGCTTGCTTTACATGTAACAGGCCCCCTCCACCCCCACAGGTGTAATTTTCATGCCGCAGCCAATCTCTTTAGCCTCTAGCGCTTGCAGGTGTGTCCCAAACTTCATGATAGGTCCGTCCCGCCCAGGAGAGCCCTCTCTAGGCACCTGCCCCCGTTAAACCTGCTTTGTGTACGTTTATGATGTCATCTCTAGCTTTGCGTGATTGAAGCTTCTTTTCTTATTTCAACAGAAACACTCCATTCATGTCTATTCTGTCTGTATCATAGAAATGACATACGGCCTGTGTTAAACAGGAAAGGAAAAAGCAAGGAGTAACTGCCCTTTGCACCCTGTTCGTATTCCCACACCCTTCTGAACTATAACCTTTAAGCCATATAAAACTCACTAACAGCGAGTTGTGTATTATGAGAAGAGGGGATGCAGGTAAACTGTCATCGGGCCTCAGGACATCTGCTGTAATCCCCTGTCTACTGAAGCCTGCTGGGCCTGACTGCACACTGAGGCCTGATGTAATGGATGGATTAGTTTAAACAACGCAAACTGACTTGATACTAATCCCGTGTCTGACAAATGTCAATGAAAGTCTGGAGATGGCCTAATGGGCAAATATTGGCCTTTTTTGTATGTGAAACCAGCTTTTTCTTCAGGGGAAGATTTTGAATAAGTTACGCAGTTGTTCTTTGTGAAAGAGTTATGTTTGGGTGCTGTATTGGTGTACACGTCAAGTTTAGTAAAATTAAAATCAGTCCTCTGTGCCAAAATTATAGTGTATGCAGAAATTAAAATCTTTGGATATATGCAATCAACCAACCAATAAACCGACGGACCAACCAATCAACAAACAAACCAACCAACCAACCAACCTATAGTGCTTTTATAATGTAGATTGTGTCAAATTAGCTTAACATTCATTCTAGTTAACTGATTCTCACCTGTGCTTATTAAAATATATA